CTCATCATCTTTCTAAAAAGCCCTTTTAACTCGTGCAATATTCGTGATGTAACCCTGAATTCTTCTGTGTGGACCTATAGATACTTTGTGGACCATCTTTCCAAATAGGGGTTTATGAAATTATTTTTTATTCCCCCTCTTGAACAGGACATTTGTTGATCACATATAATGACACTATGCAAGGGGTCCTATTCAACTGTTCAGAAAACAAGAGTAGACAGCACTGCTCAAGCCTAGACAAGTCTTCTTCAATGCATACAGAATGTATGCCACTGTTGTTCCATCTTTAGTGTGCAAAACAAATGTGAGTCCTGTGTAACATAAGCGTGCATGTAATCAGGGCTTACTGATTTCTCTACACATTCAATGCATACTGATGAATGTGAGTGCTCTGACCCCCTAGTACATACTGGTACATCTACTTTGTGAGCAGATGTAATGTTATGGCACAAGCACTGAGTGAGTTTGGGTCTAAGCACCAATGGGTGCATGTCCATATCTCAGCGCAGGAAAGCGGGAGTTATACCATAGTGCACATACAGCATGGAGAGTATCTAGCAGGTTGTTTCCGCAGTTGTGTATGCATACCCCATTGCACACACAGCCAAGTGGGGGTATGCACATCAGTCCAGTGTAAATGTGGTAAGTGTGTGCAAACTCCAGGGCAGGCAGAACTCAGGGTGGGGTGTGTGGGATAGGGATGCACAGAGCCTGGGGAGGTAGCTGTGTGTCGGGGGAGGGGGGGAATAGGGGTGCTCTCACCCCAAGGCAGGCATAGATGGGGGGGGAGAGTTGGGGGCATGGTTAGGCATCAAATTGCAGGGTAGGTAGAGCCCAGGGAAGTATGGGTGTGTGGGAGGTGGGTGGGGTGCTCACACTCCAGGACAGGCAGATCCCTGGGAGGGGTGTGTTTGCTCATACCATAGAGAAACAGAGCCCAGAGAGGGGTGTGTGTGAGGAAGGGGCGGGGGGAAGGCTGGGTGCTCACAGCCTAGGACACGCAGAGCTCATGGAGGAGTATGTGTGCATGTATGTTGGGTGCTCATACCCCAGGGCGGGCAAAACTTGGGGAGGGGTGTGCGTGTGTGTGTGGGGGAAATGTTGGGTTTTCACACCTCAGGGCAAGCAGAGTGTGTTTGTGGGGGGCATTGGTGCTCATACCCCAGGGCGAGCAGAGTGTGTGTATGTGGCAAGTTAGATATTCTGGCCCCAGGGCAGGAAGAGCCCAGGGAGCGGGGAGGGGTTTAGGAGTGGGGTGTGGAGGTTTGGGGTGCTCAGACCCCAGGGCAGGCAGGGCCTGGGGAGGGGTGTGTGCACATGGAGGGGGGAATTGGGTCTCACTCCTAGGGCAGGCAAAGTGTGTGTGTGTTGGGGGAGTTAGGTATACTGGACCTTAGAACCCAGGGACAGTAAATGGGTGTGCGTGGGGTGGTGGGGATCAGCGTTCCCTCTAATTTTTCCCACCTGTGTGTGGAATGAATTTTGTATTGTGCACCAATATGGCAGTGATGTGTAAAACATCACCTTCATATTGGTGCACAAAACAAAATTCATGTGGTTGTGGTGGGGTCGAGGGGTTCGGAGTGTGGGAGGGGGTCAGGGCTGGGGCAGAGGGTTGGGTGCAGGGGGTGAGAGCTCCACCTGGGGGTGTGGGTCCCGGGGTGGGACCAGGGATGAGGGCTCAGGGCTGGGGCCCGGGGTTGGGTGCAGGGGGTGAGGGCTTTGAGGTGCAGGAGGGTACTCCGGCAGGGAGAGAGGACTCCCCCCACAGCAGCACCTGGGCTGATGGGGAGAGGTGGTAGCTCTGGGGCTGCAGGATAGGCGTCCCTCCCCTGGCCCCAACAGCTCCGGGCTGAGGGAGGGCCTCCCCTGCCGCACCTGGGGCTGGGCCAGACTGCCCCTGCGTCCGAGCCACCCTGGCCGCGGCAGGTCCCTGGGCCCTTGTGCAGCACTAAATAGGCTGCTGTGCAGCTGCGCAGGTTACAGGGAACTTAGGAGGGTATATCTGACCCAGGGCAGGCAGAGCCCGGGGAGGAGAGCATGGGGGGAGGTGTTGGGTATACTCACCCCAGGGCAGGCAGAGCCCAGGAAGAAGTGTGTGTGTGTGGGGAATACCCGCCTCAGGACATGCAGAGCTTAAGGAGGGGAGTGTGTGTGTCGGGTGATGGGCATACCGGCCCCAGTACAGGCAGAGCCCCGGGAAGGGTATGTGTGTGTGGGCTCACACCCCAGCTGCAGTCAGAGCCCGGAAGGGGTGTGTGTGATGTTCACATGCCAGCCGTGGGCAGAGCTGGGGAGGGTTGGGTGTGTGTGTGTGTGTGTGGGATGCTCACAGCCCAGCCGCGGGCAGAGCCGGGGA